CTGACATGAACTAATGGCATTCACTTTAATGGGATTGATCATTTTGGTCACATCTAATAAAATTTTAATTTACAATTATTTTTTTGGCTTACCAGCATTTTTCTGTGGATGACACAGTGCATAGAGTCATATCCATGTTTTAGATCTGACTATTGCATACAAAACGCTACGCAGCCATGACAGTCTCTCCCTCTATGCATAGACATAAATTAATGAATTCAGTTTTCCTGCTGTGTCATCATTCAGAAACTTAAATAGTTATCCAACACACAGTAACATGCATTGCTGCCTTATCAGCATTGGTAGACTCATCTACTTAGATTGTTTGCCACGCTGACTCATAATCTCTAATAATTGAACTTCAACATCCTCTAGCTCATCAACTTCTAGACATGGTGTGAGCTGAAAGAGGGACCTGTCCCACTTTCAGAATTCTGTCCTGTTCTAAATTTCATGAAAAATATCCTCAGATGGATGCAATATCAACTCTTCACCCACACTAAAAGATTCCCTCGCATTAGCAACATGGTTAGCCACTACAATGATTCTTTTTGGTACAGACACATTTGCTGGAGCAGTGGCCTGTAGGAAGCTTGTGGTTTCTCTATTCACAATTTTTTTAAGTTGGTCAACTCCAAAGGCTTGTCTTTTAACATGGAGTGTTCGATGTCCCTATGGCAAAGCAGGTTTGAAGGATTCATAGCTTGATAACCAGACACCACATGTTGCACTGGGCAGGCTTGGAAATGTGAACCACTTTCTGCAATGAATTGGGCTTAAGTAAGATTCAGCCTTTTCTTTAATGTCAGATGTCTTTGGTTCACCATGAGCCCTCATCTTGACTCTTTTCCTCTCTTAACTCTTCAGTGACACTTTCTTTTTCCTCATTCTAGATAGGAGCAGTTTGCAGATTTACCTAAACGATCATTGAGGCAAGCGCACAGTGTGGAAATTATGTGCACATGGTGATGATGAATATAACAAGGAGGTATCACGTGTGGACTAAAAGTTTTTTTATTAATTTTATTGAGAAACAAATAGTAATGAGAAAGTTTCAAAACAGATTAGTAAGACAGTTTCTATAATTAATACATTAGATATCGTTGTCTTCTTAGTGGTTATTCATAGTACAAAATGCAGACATGATATCTTGTCCAAGCACTGTTAGTACAAATCTTTCTTCTTATTGAATTAAGAGAAAGTAGCTGTATGTCTATCCTAACTATTTTGTATATACAGATACAAAATAGTCCTTCAATTGCATCCCCTTTTTCTGTTTAGTTTTGTCAGAGATGGGTATTCCTTTGCCATTTAAATATAATAGTTGCATGAATTCAGCAAAAGAATCCAATATAGTCCAGTAGTCCATAATAGTAGTGGGTTACCTATAGGACTGGTAAGGTCCAAAGTTGTTGACTTTGAGCCTTTTACATCTCAGCCATCCAGCAGAAAAGTATAAAAAAGAGGTATAAAAAGTAAAGCCATATTAAAAGTTTTGGATTCTGACTTAATGCCTGCCACCAACGCAGCTGTACAATTGAAGTACATCAACCATCTTGCCCCTAGAAAGCCTGCCACCTGATGCAGCATAATTTTCACTTGCCACACACTTATAGAGTTTTGGTATAAGATTACAGTCAGTTGATTCATTATAGTCTGTCATCGTAACTCTGTTAATGTTAGTTTATATCTACAGCCTTTCCCCAGAGTTAGTCTCATGGCTTCAGATTCACCTCACTGCATCAGGAATTAGGTTTCTGTAAGTATAATGAACAGGGGGGCCGGGGAGATGGCTCAGTAGAATAAGCGCTTCCCTGGCAAGTGCAAGGGCCTGAGTTCAATCCCTGGTTCCACCAAAAAAAAA